AAAAACAGGAACAATTATTTAATATTATTAAGAAATTCCTCAGAGTAAAAACAAAATTAAATAGCAAAAAATATGGAAAGTTGATATTGAATAAAAAAAAAATAGCAATAAAATAGAAAAAATATCATAAAGCTCTATAATAGAAGGGGAAGCAGTCAGTCTCATTAATAATAATAAACCAGATTTGCAAGAATTAATCTTAAGAGATAAATTCTTTTAAGTTAATGAAAACATATAAGGCAGCCGGTATAGTCAAAATAATTATGAAATTTGTTCATAATGCAAGTGAATGATAAATACACAACGGAAGAAATTCCAGAAGACTAAGGAAAACATCATAATACATATACTTAAAAAAGCAATAGGTGATTTATGAATTCAGAACGAGTTTAATGTAAAAGTTTAATGGTATCTGTAGCTAAAATCCTAGTTAAAATAATATGCAATCGAACTGAGAAAATAATAAAAAAAAAAATAATTAAACAACAATCAATTCAGGTTCAAGAGGAATAAAAGTACTAGAAGCAATCTTAAGTTTAAAAATATTGATTGAAAAACAAATAGAATTTAGTAAAGCCACATTTATAGATTTAGAAAAGACTTTCGATAAGATACCATGAAAAGATCTATTAAATACTTTAGAAGAAATAGGAATTGACTACAGGGATGGAAAGATAATGTATAATTTATATAAAGATTAATCAGCTACAATAAAAGTAACTCACAAATCAGAAACAGCAATAGTTATGAAGGGAGTACATAAAGAATGTCCACTCTCACAAACTCTATTTAATATTTTTATTTAACAGTCTATTAAAGAAATTAGAGAAACATTTCTCAAAAATAAAATAGGCATAGATGTAGGTGGAAAAATAATAAAGCTCATAAAATTTGTTTACAATTTTGCACTCTGAGCCTTCTGAACCAATAATAAGCAAAATTTAGAAAAATCACTAGAAGAGATGACAAAATACTTCTAAAAATATCATTACATATTAACATAATTAAAGATATTGTAAAGGAATAAATATCATTCAAGTACAGAAAGGATTTCTTAATATATATATATATATATATATATATATATATATATATATATATAAGAAAGGGTATTGCATTTTAAAAATGGCAAAAACTTCATAAATAAAAAAAATTGTCAATAAAAACAAATGATCTATTTTTTTAAAATTAGTTTACAAAATATCAAAGTCATATTGGTGTGAAAAAAAATACATTTTAAAACATACCAGTGTTTCATAAAAATAATATTTATCATAAGTAGTTAAGAAACGTCCATAATAGATTATGCATCCATAGTAGATGTTCTAAATCAAATTATTTTAAGATATATTATTTATTTCTTACATTTTTACACCCGAACAAGTTACCAGTTCTTCTCTATCACAATTATAAATGAAGTTAAAAAAAAAAATTCAGATTTTTCTAGAAATAATTTAATTGTGTTGAGGAAGATAGTCAAAATAAATAAATAAATACACATTATTGATCTAGATAAAATAAAATGGAAAAAAAAACATATATATTAACTAGATAAGTATATGAATGTTAAATATATACATACATATTAGTTAAAATTTAAATAATGTAGATGAATATTTAACAATTTTTGTATTAAACACCTACAAGACAATTTAAATAGATTCTTTAATGTTGTCATCATCATGCCAACACTCACTGTCTGATGGCACAGGAGTAAGTTCTCTAGCAGGTCTTGGTGGTGTAGTGTTTTTCCCAGGTATATTCTGATCATCAGTATCATTTAGTGAATCATCAGACCTTAAAACACTATTATTGAATGTATCTATGATTGGTAAGTCTTCAAGGCGTTGGCGACTAATATAGTACTCAATCACAGATGATGTAGTTGTCTTAATAGAAGGAGTTACCGTGGCAACTTTTTTGTTAACCATAGTAAACTTGGTACGCACTTTTGATTTTTTAAACGGATACATATTACGTTTAAACTTAAGCATTTCTCGCATCAATTTTTTCAATGGTGGTGGCGATAATGGACGACCATTATCATCATGTGTTGGAGATGTAGCTAAATTATCACCAGGGTGGATTCCATCAGCAAAAGTTACACGTTTAGGCATTCTTGAGGTACTTGTTGTATTACTTCTAAATGGAATAATTACATTGTCAATACATTTTATCATAAAGTAAAATATATTAACAGTTTAATTAGTTACAAATATTATATTCTTACAATTTTTTAGATAAGATACTGATGGTTGGTGGCTGAAACAGTCCCAAAAATGGATGTTTAACTGTTTCCATGTTGTCACTATAGTGCACCATTATTGTGTCAGGCTGTTTTTCTTGAATCTTTTCTTTGGCGCGAACTTTTAATTTCTTAATCAAAATCTAGATAATAAAAATTAAATTATTATTATACAACTATCCTGAAAAATATACAATATACACATCAGTTTATCTTATTTTATATTGAAAAAAAAAAATGATATAATCCACGATTTTATTTTATATTCCGTATGCAAGGTAGATGTGAACAAAGGCAAAAAAAAAAGGTGTATGGTATGGGTATATAAAATGAGTTATAGTCACTAGTTTAGCAGTTTAATTTTTTATATAGGCAAAATAATGACAAAAATTGTGTGTGACAAATTACCAAATAGTGAGTAATGAATGATAAGATAGTTAGGTGTCCACATTCATGATGGTTATTAGAAGTGCTAAGACTGGCTAATTAACCAAGTAATTTATTGTGAATGTTTTATAAAATATTGAATATATTAAATATTATAATATATTACAGTGTAGTTTATAGTTAAAATAATCAAATAAAATGAATACCTGTTGATTAAAAATTTTATTTATAATTGAAAGATCGTCAACTACTATTTCTTCTTTCAGTGGTACAACATCTATAAAATATAAACATCTATTAATAATGAAATATTATTTAATTTTAATATTATACACAAATAATATTCAGCATTTTTTTTAGATTTATCTACAATAATATACCAATATTTTTAATATAGATTATTATTACCTGATTCTTTCATTTTGTCATTTTTTATTCCTTCTAGCTTCAAAATATTATTATCATTATTTTCTGTAACTAATTCAAGAGTGGTCTTCGCCATATCTTTTTCATTTTTTAATTTCAATATTCGAATCTAAATTGATAGACAATGCAGCACTTTTATCGATTTCTATAAAATCTGAACTCTTAATCGAACTCTGTGGTTGTTTTGTAATATCTACTGGTATCTCTACATCAGCAATATTTAGTAATTCGTTTTTTATCATTATTTTCCGATGACTTCTGATACAAATTTAAAGTAATATTTTGTTTTTCTTTTGAACTTGTTTCAAAGTATGAATCAGAAAAGTCACTAGTATCAGTATCATAATCTGAAGAACTAGATCCTTCTTGATTGATGTCAGCAACAGTTTGATCAACATCATCAAGGTTGTTCCCTCCATACTTATTAAGTATACATGGATCATCCAGCCAAGTGTCAACATTTTCATCACTTACACTATTTATAATTTCCCATTCTCCTTCAACTGTATATTTATTATTATCTTCGCAATCATCATTATTATCTATAAAACCATTTTCTTGACCTGAATCTGATTTACTAGAATCCACATCATCATCACCATCACTAAACACTCCTGATACATCAGATGAAACATGAAAAGGAATTAAATCTGCATGCAACCAGTACTCGACAGTTGAACCATTTTGGTTTACATTAAAACAATGTCTAACTTCATTACCAACACCATCAAGACTACTTGATTCTAAAGCTATGTGTACCATACATTTATCTTCGATGGCACAATATGCTAAATAGTTATCACTAGTAAGATAAACATTGATATCATCTTCTTGAACTAAACATGCATAACCTCGATCTTGTAAAGGTATAGCAACTGTTTTACTATCTTTGCAATCAGTATTTAACTTTTCTTGGGTTGATAATTTTTTCCAAAGTATTTATATTTACTTCAGTAATATTATCAAGAACGGGTTCACTCATTGAGTACTTTATAGGATTTTGGTTGTAGTGTTGGAAATATTGTTGATATAGCTTGAAAAATTGTTCATCACGACCAACAATAACTGATTTTTCATTTTCAACAATACTGTCCTACAACAAAAGTTAAATACATTTATACAGTAAGGATTTAAATTTTATTATATATGATGATTATTAAATAACTACATAGAAATAAAATCATAACTACAATAGGTAATAATGAAATTAAATTAAAAAATAACTATAAAATTGTTTAATGATTAATACTCTAAAAAATAATAATTAAGTAATCAAACATTTTATAATAAATTCAAGAAGTTAAAAATTATAAAATATTCAACAATTAATTTTACGTATAATATATATATATATATTTAATCAATGATAACATATTGTATATTCACATTGTCAAAAAAAAAAAGGAATTCTCTTCTTCTTTAACTTGCTTAACATAATAAAAACATATATTATACTTTTATAATAACTTATAACTAAAAGAACATCACTGGGAAAAACATTTTCCAGAACAGAATTCTGGCTAGTAGAAGTTAGTCTATAATAAAATAATAAATAAATAATTCTACATAAACATGATTTACTGAAAATACAAAAAAAAAACCTACAGTAATTCCAGCTGATCATAAAAAACGATTAAAAGGAGTTAGCACAAGGAAGCGCAGTCGGCTACTACCGACCAATGGTGATTAATATGAGATTTAAAATAGACATACTATGAGTGAACGAAGTTAGATGATCAAGAAACAGTGATTTCAATAAGACGACGACCACATTATATATTCTGGTGATGAAACATCAGGACGGTTGTGTGTAGGATTAATAAATCCTATTTATATTAATAAATAAAATATGGGGCTACCAAATTATGAACAAAATAACATAGAATGATAGGCTTATATTGATTTAACTTACGAGCCAAACCAAATTATATTGTACTAATCCAAGTGCATTTTCCAACGTCAGGTATAGATGACGCTAGGTGTATTCTGGTCTAGAAGAGCTGTGCAAATTAGCAAAAGGAAAAAATAACTGAATAATAATGGGTGATTGCATTTTTATAATTGAAAAAGCTGCGGATGGTTTAGAAGTAAGAAGCATTCGGTCTAGGATCTAAAAATAAAAGAGAAAAATGCCTTGTAGATTTCTGTAAGGAGCATATGGCCATAGCTAATACATTCCAAAAAAATTACCATAGAAAATTTCAGAGGATATCAGAAAATATTAGATTAACTATATCATAGTAAAGAGGTTCAGGTATCAAGTACATAGATGCAAAACATACCTAAGAGCTGACATAAAAAGCTCGAAAAACAAGAAAATATAACTTGAGAATGCTAGGAGATAAAATAACATAAATACAACCAATGCATCCTACACCAATGACAAATAAAATTCGCCATTATCAAATGACACTGAATATAAATGAAATATAAAATAAAACAAGCCATTTATGATACAGCCAGTAAAATGTTGAAAAAAAATTCAGCAAAGCCTAGGAAATCATGGATAAACAATAACATCATAAAAGTGGGAAGTCTTAAAAAGTCTAGGATTCTAGGACTCTAAACTTAGGAAATCTAAGAACGCCAAGAATAATCATGGAATACAGAGATATAAGAAGTTAAAGAATAAAATTAATGGAGAAACTAAATTTTAAAGAGAAAAAAACATTAAAAGAAATGTGACAATAAATGGAGCAGTTACTTAGGAAAAACAGGAACAATTATTTAATATTATTAAGAAATTCCTCAGAGTAAAAACAAAATTAAATAGCAAAAAATATGGAAAGTTGATATTGAATAAAAAAAAAATAGCAATAAAATAGAAAAAATATCATAAAGCTCTATAATAGAAGGGGAAGCAGTCAGTCTCATTAATAATAATAAACCAGATTTGCAAGAATTAATCTTAAGAGATAAATTCTTTTAAGTTAATGAAAACATATAAGGCAGCCGGTATAGTCAAAATAATTATGAAATTTGTTCATAATGCAAGTGAATGATAAATACACAACGGAAGAAATTCCAGAAGACTAAGGAAAACATCATAATACATATACTTAAAAAAGCAATAGGTGATTTATGAATTCAGAACGAGTTTAATGTAAAAGTTTAATGGTATCTGTAGCTAAAATCCTAGTTAAAATAATATGCAATCGAACTGAGAAAATAATAAAAAAAAAAATAATTAAACAACAATCAATTCAGGTTCAAGAGGAATAAAAGTACTAGAAGCAATCTTAAGTTTAAAAATATTGATTGAAAAACAAATAGAATTTAGTAAAGCCACATTTATAGATTTAGAAAAGACTTTCGATAAGATACCATGAAAAGATCTATTAAATACTTTAGAAGAAATAGGAATTGACTACAGGGATGGAAAGATAATGTATAATTTATATAAAGATTAATCAGCTACAATAAAAGTAACTCACAAATCAGAAACAGCAATAGTTATGAAGGGAGTACATAAAGAATGTCCACTCTCACAAACTCTATTTAATATTTTTATTTAACAGTCTATTAAAGAAATTAGAGAAACATTTCTCAAAAATAAAATAGGCATAGATGTAGGTGGAAAAATAATAAAGCTCATAAAATTTGTTTACAATTTTGCACTCTGAGCCTTCTGAACCAATAATAAGCAAAATTTAGAAAAATCACTAGAAGAGATGACAAAATACTTCTAAAAATATCATTACATATTAACATAATTAAAGATATTGTAAAGGAATAAATATCATTCAAGTACAGAAAGGATTTCTTAATATATATATATATATATATATATATATATATATATA